TTTTGGCTCTTTCTTCTCTTTTGATGTGTACACTTATTGCTATAAATTGTCTTCTGATCACTGCTTTTGCTGTGTCCCAAAGATTTTGGTATATTGTGTTTTCATTCTCATTTGATTCAAGGAATTTTTGAATTTCAATTTTTATTTCTCTTACCCAGTCTTTCTTAAGGAGAGTGTTGCTCAGTTTCCATGTGTTTACTCTTTTTCCTGTTTATCTTCCTATTGTTGATTTCTAACTTGACAGCATTATGATCTGAGAAGATGCTTTGCAATATTTCAATGTTTTTAAATTTTTTAAGGCCTGCTTTATGCCCCAATATATGGTCTATCATGGAAAATATTTCATGTGAACTGGAAAAGAATGTATATTGTGCTGTGGTGGGTGAAGTGCTCTGTAGATGTCTTTAAGGTCAATTTGGTGGACTGTATTGTTTAGCTCTTCTGCATCTTTGTTGAGTTTCTTTCCAGTTGTTCTATCTCTCATTGAAAGTGACTATTACAGTCTCCTACTCTGACTGTGGAGTCATCTGTTTGACTTTTCAATCCTGTTAAAGTCTGATTTATGTATTTTGGGGCTCTTTCATTGGGTCCATAGATATTTATTATGGTTATGTCCTCATGTTCAATTGATCCTTTAATCTTTATATAATATCCTTCCTTGTGCCATCTGGTGGTTTTTGTTTTAAAGTCAATTTGAACAGAAATTAATATTTCCACTCTTGCTCTCTTACAGTTGCCATTTGCTTGATATGTCTTTTTCCAGCCTCTGATTTTTAGTCTGTTTTTGTCTTTGTCTCTCAGATGTATCTGTTGTAGACAGCATATTGATGGGTTTTATTTTCTTATCCAATGTGCAACTCTCCATCTCTATAATGGTGCATTTAATCCATTAACATTCAGTGTAATTATTGACAAGTATGAATTGGTTGTTGTCACCATGTTTTTTTTTTCATGGTGTCCCTGGTTTCTTTGTTGCATATTTTTTCTGTGCTGAGCTCATTATGTTTTGAATCATGTTAACATTTCCTTGTTGCTGTTGTTTTATTATTTTCTGAATATTTGTGCTTTTTATTGTGATATGAAGGTTTATCATTTTTCTTTGAGGTTGCCCTGTGATTTATAATTTTCTCCTCAAGATTAGAACAGTCCATTCTATCTTGCAACTCTCTTGACTTCTTCACCATTTAGAAGTTCTGTAACTACATAGTCTTTTTCCTCTTTTTGTTTGTACTTGTCCTCACTTGCCAATTGATGTCTCTGGTTCCCTGTTTACAATCTTGTAAGCTTATTTTCCTTTGGATATGTCCATAGCTGTGGTGTTTGGGTTATGTCATCTGGTGTATTAAAGGTTGGTTTTTATTTGCTATTTTTGGTTCTCAGTTCAAAAGACTCCCTTTAGTATCTCTTGTAAATTTGTCTGGTTTTAACAAATTCCCTTAGTTTCTGCT